CAAAAGAAGATGGAAGGGATACACAGAGTCACTGTACCAAAAAGAATTGGTTGATGTTCAACTATTTCAGGAGGTAGCATATGATCAAGAACCGATGGTACTGAAGGAAGAGGTCCAAGTTGCACTGAAAGCATTGGTGAAAAGCAACGCTCCAGGAATTGATGGAATACCAATTGAGATGTTTCAACAAATGGGTGCAGTGCTGGAAGTGCTCACTCATCTATGCCAAGAAATTTGGAAGACAGCTACCTGGCCAACTGAGTGGAAAGATCTATATTTGTACCCATTCCAAAGAAAGGTGATCCAACAGAATGCAGAAATTATCGAACAATATCATTAATATCACACCCAAGTAGAATTTTGTGAAGATATTTCAAAAGTGGTTGCAACAGTACATCAACAGGGAACTGCCAGAAATTCAAGCCGGATTCAGAAGAAAACGTGAAATGAGGGATATCATTGCTGATGTCAGATGGATCCTGGCTGAAAGCAGAGAATATCAGAAAGATGTTTATCCATGTTTTATTGACTATGCAAAGGCATTTGACTGTGTGGAGCATAACAAATTATAGATAACATCATGAAGAATGGGAATTCCAGAACACTTAATCGTGCTCATGAGGAACCTATACATAAACCAAGAGGCAGTCATTCGAACAGAACAAGGGGATACTGCCTGGTTTAAAACCAGGAAAAGTATGTGTTTATGTTGTATCTATTCACCATACTTATTCAATCTGTACGCTGAGCAAATAGTCTGAGAAGCTGGACTATGCGAAGAAGAAGGTGGCATCAGGATTGGAGGAAGACTCATTAACAACCTGCAATATGCAGATGATGCAACGTTGCTTGCTGAAAGCAAAGAGAATTTGAAGCACTTACTAATGAAGATCAAAGACCACAGCCTTCAGTATAGATTACACAGCAACATAAAGAAAACAAAAATCCTGAGAACTGGACCAACAAGAAACATCAAGATAGACAGAGAAAAGATTGAAGCTGTCAAGGATTTAATTTTACTTGGATCCACAATCAATGCCCATGGAAGCAGCACTCAAGAAATCAAACCATGTATTGCATTGGGCAAATCTGCTGCAAAAGACCTCTTTAAAGTGTTGAAAAACAAAGATGTCACTCTGAGGACTAAAGCAGGCCTGACCCAATCCATGGTATTTTCAATTGCCTCATATGCATGTAAAAGCTGAGCAATGAATAAGGAAGACCAAAGAAGAATTGATGCCTTTGGATTATGGTGTTAGTGAAGAATGTGGACTATACCATGGAGTTCCAGAAGAATGAACAAATCAGTCTTGGAATGAACAAGAATGAACAAAAACAGCCAGAATGCTCCTTAGAAGTGAGGATGGTGAGATTTCGTCTCAGGTACTTTGGACATGTTATCAGGAGGGACCAGTCCCTGGAAAAGGACATTATGCTTGGTAAAGTAGATGGTCAGTGAAAAAGAGGAAGACCCTCAACAAGATGGATTGACACAGTGGCTGCAAGAATGGGCTCAAGCATAGCAAAGATTGTGAGGATGACGCAGGACCAGGCATTGTTTCCTTCTGTTGTACACAGGGTTGCTAGGCTTCTGAACTGACTTGACAGCACCTAATGACAACAACAACTGAAGTTTTATTTTTCTTTAATGACAACATGTTTCATTTCTTGAAGTTCTATTTGGTTCTTAGTTCTTTCACTAGTCTGCCTTTATTTTTCCGACAATGCCTTGTTCTTATCTCATGTTTTAAACTCTTTTTTTTTTTTTTTTTGGTCTTTAATTTTCTAAACATATTTATTTTATAGTGTTTCTTCAATACCACTGTTACATAAAATGTTGCGGGCCTAATTCTGTCATTTGTTGTATCTACTGATTATAGGTGTGGTTTCTTTACTTTTTTCCCAATTAAAAGATTTATTAACTTCTGTAATTCCACATACTAGTATACTCTAGCACAATAAACCTTAGTCTCTATAATTAATTTTTAAAATTATAGCTTATTAAATAGAAATGGCTGAGTCTTTCAGATTGACTGGAAGCAGAGGAACTCATGGTGTTGTGATTACCTCTCCTGGATTCTTGCAATTTGGCCCCATTCACTGTTGGTATCATCTGCTCTTTGTTTTTATTTTTTTGGAGGGGAGGTAGTTATTCCCACATCCTGAACACTAGTGTTCATTTTGATAAATGTCTCATTAAATAATGAGTGTAAAACTTTGGGCCAGTTACCTACTCTCTGCATCTTGGTTTCCTCCTCTTTAAAAAAGGGGATGATAATAGGGATGTGTGACATTTAATGATTGTGCCCTTCAGTGCCTGTCACAGAGGAAGCACTCTTATGGTATTAGTATCAGTACCATTTTTCTTCGCACTAACCTTTTTACTAAAAACTTTTATATTCCCAAATCAAATGTAGCCCAATATTACAACCACCATTACAATATAGTCACTATTAAGCCCTTGTCCTTTGCATGCCCACCAGCATGTTCCCATAACCTGGCTGTACTCGACTCATCCTCAGGTTTTCTTGGTGTCCCTATACACACGGTGCTCATTCCTTCTCCACCTCCATGGCATTTTCCTAGTCTCAATGACACATTCCTTTTGGCCTGTCACCAAGTCTGTCCTTCAGAGCCCACTCAGTTGTAGTTCCATGTCCTTTATGCAGATATTTGACCAAGTTCAATCCGCACCAATCTCTCTTCTTTCAATGCCAGGTGCCACTATGGAGAGTATCACAGAGTGTAGCTTTCTCAGGATTTGGTGGCTTGTTCACAGTGTGGCTGTGGGTGTCATCCTAACTAAACTGAGCACTCCTAGAGGAAAAGAACATGACACATATCCAGCGTGTATAATACCACTAGGTTCAAGCATATGCTGCTCATATATTTTTATATTTTGGCTTTTTAGCATATATTTGGTAGGAATTTGGGACTTGGTTTGTGGTTATGTCCCTGCAGAGAGAATTTTTATTTGTTTCTGCCACGCGTTCCTTGGTTACCAGCCTGGGACCATGGTTTTTGATAATTTCTCTGCCTAGGTTCCAGGATTACTCAGGTTGTGTAAATTTGAACCACCAACTTAAGTGAAGGTGAACAGTTGCTGTCGAGTTGACTCCAACTCATCATGACCCCATGTATGTCAGAGTAGAACTGTGCTTCATAGGGTAATCAATGGTTGATTTTTCAGAAGTCGATCACTAGATCTTTTTTCTGAGGGTCCTCTGGGTGGACTTGAAACTCCTCAGAAGACCAGGGCTGCACCTAGCTCCTCTGGGGTCTCTATTGTTTTGCCAAAAAGAGGTAAGATGATGGACCATAATGAGAGAAAGGAAGGCAGTCAGGCCACACACTACAGCCCCAGTTCCCAAATCCACCACTGGACTGCTCCTTTTCCTGAGAAATCTGGGCTCTATCCTGACTCCTCACAGAGGAACAAACAACCCACATCATTTGTGCAGTATTTTAGAGTTACAAAAAGGAGCCCTGGTGGTGCAGCGTTTAAAGTGCTTGGCTGCTAATTGAAAGATTGATGGTTCAAACCCACCAGCTGCTCTGCGGGAGAAAGATGTGTCAGTCTGCTTCCATAAAGATTACAGCCTTGGAAACCCTATGGGGCAGTTCTATTCTGTCCTATAGGGTCGCTATGAGCTGGAATTGACTTGATAGCAGTGGGTTTGGGTTTTTAGAGTTACAAAGAATTTTTATATGCAGTTTCTTATTTATATATGCAGATAGACAAAATGGGTACTATTATTCCTATTTTATAGGTGGGAAATCTGAGAAATTGGGGCTCAAGTTGAGGAAGGGGTTTGCTTCAAAGGTCACACAATTTAAGTGGTCTATCTGGGATTCTGGCACAATGGCTTGGCAGCTAACCCAGAAGTTGGTGGTTCGAACCCACCAGCCACTCCATGGGATAAAGGACGAAGCATGTGCTCCTGTAAAGATTACAGCCTAGGAAACCCTATAAGGCAGTTCTACTCTGCCATGTAGTGTCGCTATGAGTCAGAACTGACTCAACGCACACAACAACCTCTGGGGTTCTTTCTCAGATTCTTTGACACTCATCATGGGCTTGGGGATCAGAGATTTACTTACAATGCAGATGATAATGTCTTCTTCCCCGAGTTATTGAGAGGAATAAAAGAGCTAATCTGCGTAAGGCATCCAGCTCAGAGCCTTGTCCCTAGTCAGTGCTAAATGAATGGCAGCCTGTATTATGACATCAGACGCTCTAGCTTTCTCTCAGAAACCTGGTATTGTAGAAATAGGAATTCTTTCCTCAGGTTAGCACCTTGTGAAAATTGGGTGGAGAATATATGAGGCATTCATGACCAATCCTTTTGTTTTTTTAAAATGGCATTTCAAAATTGCTCTCTTCCAGGAAACTTTTCCCAAGAACCCCTCCTATTCTCTAAAGCTATCACACACATTTACTGGCACTTAATGATATGCTGTCATGCAGCTCCTTGAGCTTTGAAGGTGTTTGTCTTCCCAGCCAAGCCACGGCAGGCACCGCCTCTAAGGTAGCACAATGCCCTTCATTGTCCTGGTGTGAAACAGGTGCTTAACAAGTATTTGTTGCATTGAATTGAAAGGTGACTAGCCAACTCCAAAATTCAGTCGCCACCTGGTGACCAGTGTTTTTCCTACTTTTGAAATAGTGGGTTTGGTAACTTAGGATAAGCTCATCCTGCTGCTGAGGTGAAGCCTGACGGGTGCAGTCCACAGACTCACCATCATTCAGGTAGTGCTGGCTGAGACAGGCGCCCAGCTCCCATACCTGAGCTGCACAACACATGGAAAGCAAGTGCTTCGAGCAGGCTAACCCAAGAATAGAACAGCTTTCAGCCTTTATTTAAATGTGTCAGTTTCAGGAGTGTAGTTCCCAGGCCCCAAGGACTCATGCCTGTCCCCTTTGGCTTCCTGTGGTTACCAGGTGTTAAAGGCAGTGATCTCCAGTGAGGAGAGTGGCTGGGGAATTTAGAAGGAGAAGCCTAGAAGCCCACAGTGGTCAGGCTCACTGGAGGCTCTTCCTCTAGCGGCATCTCACGGCTTTCCACACCATCACCACGCCGACTCCAACCACAAGGCCAAGTCCTGCTGCCACTGGCACGGCCCAGCTGAGCATGCTGGAGGGTTCTTGAGCCTGGTCTGGAAGTAGCTGACTGTTCCTCAGGGTGTAGAAGTAGGGGTGCTCCTGCGGAGGAGGAAAGGGAGAGTCAGAGGTTAAGGGCCCTGAAAGTCATCTGTCACCTGCCTGAGGCTTGTTTAGTCCCCACCCCCGAGAGAGTATAAGGGTCTTGCACATTTTCACAGCTCTTTCTCTGTGTAAATCTCCTTCATTTATACTGTGCCCAAACCTTCTGAGTGAGGGTGGGTATCCAGAGGGGGCAATACCCTTCTTTTTGTTTCTTGCCAGCATCTCCTTTCCTGTCCACCCAATTTTGAAAGATTGGATTCCACACTGGAGGATTGATAGAGGCCCACAGAAAAGGGCCCTGGGCAGCCAGATAGAGCCCCTACCTCTGTTTCCTCTCAGTTACCCCTGGACAACTACTCTCATCCCAGGAGTACTCAGAGATCAGGCCAGGTAGACATGGAAGGACAGTTGGTTTTGGAGTAGATTAAAGGACCAAAAGTGAGAAGGGCTGGGTGAGGAGGCATGGGGATCTCCTCCCTGGATTTTTTTCTTCCTCCCACCTCTCTGCTTTTCTTACTCTTGGTGAACATTAATCAGGTGCCTGCTACATTGAGCTCTGTGCTAGGAGTGATGATGAGTATCTGAGGGCTAAGATGGGACATCGCTCATTGTCCAGGAAGATAAGTCATGTACAGAAACAATCACATCACAAAGGAGAATGAATCAGTGTCTTATGAGAGGTACAAACAGAAGAGAGAAGTCAACACAGGTGTGTGTCTGGGGATGGGAATGGTAAGGGAAGACTAGGTGGATCCCAGAGAGAGAAACATTGGACCTTGGAGAATGTGAACATTTTCCATAGGCAGAGATGGGAGATGATCCTCCAAGAGGAGAAAATGGCAGCAGTCAAAGCAGAGACAATTGTGGGGCTTGTCTGGGAAACTGGTCCATTTGCCAGGAGCATAGAGTGTGAGAAAGGCAATAGGGGGAAGAGACCTCCCCTCTGGACTCTACTCAACAGGCAGTAGGGACCAGGGAAGAATTTTAAACAGCTGTGACAAGACGAGTTACTTTCTAGCAGCAAGCATAGGATGGATGGAGAAGGGAGAGAGGACAGCAGGTTGAGGAGATGATACAGGTAAGGTAAGTCAGGGCCCGGATTAGGGGTATGGCAGTGGGGTCAGAAGGGAGGAAGAGGATTGTAAGCTCTGAGAACAGACGGTGTGTCTTATTTATCTTTGCTCCTCAACCCTTTTCTTCTAGTATAGTGCCTGGCACGGGAAAGCTACTCCACATGTGTTTAAGGCAGAGAATGTGTCAGATCCCTGAGAAGTGATGGTGACTCGAGATATTTGACCGGTGCTTGTTAGTCAGCCTCCCCTGAACGACTCTTCTCACTTCAGTTGGAGCTGTTGGATTCTCCTTCCCCTCACTCCATGGCTGCCCACATCCTGAGGAATGGCAACATTTCATGGCATGGAAGAGACATGAGGTTTGATAATGGTGGCAGAGAACGAAAGTGCACATTGACAAAGCCTCCCAGAAGACTCCACTGCGTACCCATGTGGCGGCACCCCAGCAAAAGATGGGCGGGCAGGGCCGTTTACTCACAGGAGAGGGGCACTTGAGTTTGGTTCGGCTGTGGGTGAAGTTGTTGGAGGTTGTCTTACCGCCCACTGGTTCCAGCTGAAGAGAGAAAAAGAACACATGATTCTCTCCAAAGCTGGGAGAGACTTCCCTGACATGGGAAGTACCTCACACCAGATTCTCTCCCTTCGGAAGGAGGGGCTGAAGCCAGCAGAGCAGCAGTACCCACGGCAGAGACCAGCAGCCCTGGTGCTGGAGCTGGAGCTGACTTCTGACTCAGAGACCCCCAGGTTAGAGTTCATCAGAGTAGGGCGGGACCCTGAGTCTGTCCCTGGGTTTACCAATGATGAAACTAAGGCCCAGAGAAATGGATGCCCAGTTCCGAGTCCACAGCCAGTTTGTGGAAGGGCTGGAACCAGAACCTCCACCTCCTCGCCCTCCTCGTGGGTGACTATGATGGCACATACTCCGTATTTTCAATTTTTTTAAATGGTGATGCTCATATTTACCAACTTCTTGAAGCCGGTGGGGCTAGTCACTTTCAGGAAAACTTTGAAAGGATGTTGGTTGCCATAACATTATTGCTACACTTGGTTCGTCAGCCTTAAGAAATTAGAGTTTTCTCACATGAACTGCTTTGTGTTTTCCACATAGATGGAAAAGTTTGCTTGAAACACCCCTGGGAGTAACTGTGGTTTAGAGGGGTTCTACTTACTACTTTTTATCCAGGGACACTCGGAGAATAAGCCTGAAGCTGCTTCACCTTCTCCCAGCATGATGTTTGACACGGCATCTTTAGCCAGCAAGCCTGCCCCCTGATGTGTGGCCAGCATTGAGAAGAATGGACCCTCAGGTTTCCACCTACTCATAGACTGTCCGGAACTTCTAGCCTCCATCCATCCTATAATCTGCTTCCCTGCCTGTTCCTGACCTCAACCACTCCTGACCTCCAGGTACTGCCAATGAGGGAAATGACAGTACTTTATCAGAGCAAATTTCATGTCTGGCCCATGATCTCATTTTTTTGTCTTAAAGCATTTTATACCTGTTCCTTAGAACACAAGAGACCGGGGGGCTGCTCTGGTCTTGGAGGAGGAACCATGGTGATGGACTGGGCGTAGTGGGTATGGAGGCAGGGCAGGAGGCTATGGTCCTGGCTTTGCCAATATGAGCTGTGTGGTGCTAGGCAGACTACCGCTCTAAGGTCCAAGGGTCAGTGCACTCAGTCCTGTCCGGAGTACTCCACGTAGGATTTAGTGAGCATCAAATGAGAAGATGAAATGAAAGCATATGTGAAGGGGAGGAGGCTTACACATGTAAGATAGTATTATTTCTACTTTCTTAGAGCTGAGGAAATGCAAACCTGGTGTAACTCAGCTGGCTAGTCACAGAATGGATGCTAAAGGTCAAGTTGCCTGGTTCCCAGTGATATTCCAGAAACCCAGGAACTAACTGAGGCAGAGGAAGATAATGATCACAGGAGTTTGGTGATAGCATCAATTTCTCCCCTTCTACGCATTCTTTCCCATCAGCACACAAACCTACTCTGATACCTCTCATCTTTTAACCCTGTTTCCTCAATCCCAAAGGAGCCCTGGTGGCACAGTGGTTAAAGTCCTCGACTGCTAACCAAAAGGTCGGTCGTTTGAACCCACCAGCCACTCCAAGGGAGAAAGATTATGTAAAAAGATTCTGTAACAATTACAGCCTTGGAAATCCTATAGGACAGTTGTACTCTGTCCTATAGGGTTGCTGTGAGTTGGTATCGACTTGATAGCAATGAGTTTGGCTTGGTTTTGGTTCTCAATCCCACCTTCCCTCCAGCCACCTTCGCCATTACTCTTCATAACTCCTTGAAAGAGTTTTTTGTAGTCACTGACTTCCCAATCTCCCATTCTTTCTACTACCCATTCCAATTAGTCTTCCCTCTCCATCATTTGACTGAAACTCTGATCAAGGTCAGCAAATGACCTCCATATTGCCAAATCCAATAGTCATTTTTTTTGTCTTCATCTTGCTTGAGTTCTCGGCAGCATTTGTCAAAGTTCTTGGCTTCCCTCATTGGCAATGACCTGGAGGTCACTTCTCTTGGCTTCATAAACATGGCACTCTTCTCATTATCCTCCTCCTCACCACTCTCTCCTCATCTTTTACTGGTATCAAAGGTTGGGATGAATGCCCTAGGGTTTGGTAGTTGGTATAGGTTGACCCTTTTCTACCTATTTTTTCTCTAGGAGCCCTCAGTTAACTGCATGCTTTTGAATGCCACCTCTATGCTAATG